AGCGGCCCAGGCAGGCGTCAGAGGCCAGTGGAGGGGAGGGGGTGGGTGCCGCAGAGCCCCCCTGCAGCTGGGTGCTCGGTGAGGCTGGTGCCGGTCCCACCGTGCCCTGGGTGCTTGGTGGGATCCACTCAATGTGCCGCCCCAGGACGTGCTGGAGAACGAGAGCATCAACCTGGACTGGATGTTTCGCTACTCCCTCATCAACGACATCGTCAAGGTACCCAAGCAAGGGGCACGAGGGGCTGGAGAGGGTGCCCGAGGGATGTCAGCTTCACCGTGTCCCTCTGCCCCAGGGAATGGCCTTCCTGCACAACAGCATCATCGGCCACCATGGCAGCCTCAAGTCTTCCAACTGCGTGGTGGACAGCCGCTTCGTGTTGAAGATCACCGACTATGGGCTGGCCAGCTTCCGCTCGTCCTGCGACAGCGAGGACACGCACGCCCTCTACGCCAGTGAGTGCCTGCCTGGGGGGGACAGGGGGACAGGGTGGCCCTGCCTCACCACCCCGTGGCCGTGTCCCACCAGAGAAGCTGTGGACAGCCCCAGAGCTGCTGCAGAAGGGGCAGCTGCCCACCCCGGGCATGCAGAAGGCCGATGTCTACAGCTTCGGCATCATCGTGCAGGAGGTCGCCCTGCGCAACGGCCCCTTCTACATCGAAGGCATGGACCTGAGCCCCAAAGGTGAGGGTGGGGGGCGGGTGTGGTGTGGGGGTCGGGGGTCCGATACTCACCGTTGGCCACCCCCCGGCAGAGATCGTGCAGAAGGTGCGTAACAGCCAGAAGCCCTTCTTCCGCCCCTCCATCGACATCGGGGTGCACAGCGAGGAGCTGGCGGTGCTGATGGAGCGCTGCTGGGCGCAGGAGCCGGCCGAGCGCCCCGACTTCGGCCAGATCAAGATCTTCATCCGTCGATTCAACAAGTGGGTGGCTGGGGAGCGGGGACAGCCACGGGGGCGGCGGTTGGGGGCCCCTCTTCCCGTGGTGCCAGCTGCCTGCACCCCGGCAGGGAGGGCAGCACCAGCATCCTGGACAACCTGCTGTCGCGCATGGAGCAGTACGCCAACAACCTGGAGAAGCTGGTGGAGGAGCGGACGCAAGCCTACCTGGAGGAGAAGCGCAAGGCGGAGAACCTCCTCTACCAGATACTGCCCCAGTGAGAGGGGGAGGGGGGGGGGGGTGTGGGGCTGGGGGGTTGGTGTGGGGTTGGTGTGTGTCTGCTGCCGTGTCACTTGCTGGCTCTCCATGCTGGAGCAGGGCAAGGGGGGGCAGGGGAAACAGGGGATTTTGGGGTGGAGGGAAGCCCACGAGCGTCTCTGCTGTCCTCGCCAGCTCCGTGGCAGAGCAGCTGAAGCGTGGGGAGACGGTGCGGGCCGAGGCTTTCGACAGCGTCACCATCTACTTCAGCGACATCGTGGCATGCTGGAGCAGGGCAAGGGGGGGCAGGGGAAACAGGGGATTTTGGGGTGGAGGGAAGCCCACGAGCGTCTCTGCTGTCCTCGCCAGCTCCGTGGCAGAGCAGCTGAAGCGTGGGGAGACGGTGCGGGCCGAGGCTTTCGACAGCGTCACCATCTACTTCAGCGACATCGTGGGCTTCACCGCCCTCTCGGCGGAGAGCACGCCCATGCAGGTGAGAGCAGGGCTTGGGGGGCAGCCCCTCTGCGGGGCTTTGTGGGGGGCTCACACCCTGGCAGTGCCATCCTTGGGGCTGGGGGGGGACATGCCCGCTCCCAGCCCCACACGCACCCTTGGTCCATCCAGGTTGTGACACTGCTGAACGACCTCTACACTTGCTTCGACGCCATCATCGACAACTTTGACGTCTACAAGGTGAGGGGGGGGGGGTGGGGCGGCGGGGCAGCCCCGCCGAACAGC